ATTTTAACTAGCCACATTCAAACTACTTGCGTAATTCAATTGAAAAAAAAATTAATTTGCAAATGTATAAAATATTCATAATTAGCATGTACTATTGAAACTAATTAAAAGTTTAAAACTAAATATGCATTAAATTAGGAATATATTATTTATAACTGCAGATGATTAAGATAAAATCTTTTAATTTTTAACTGAAATCCTAGTTGATCTTTAAAGATTGTTATGAAAGAGAGTTTATGCAATGGTTAAGTTTTTTCTCTCATTTTTATTTTTTATTTTTTAGGTGAAGAGTATTTAAGATATTGCATATAATTTTAACATTATTTGAATGGTAAAAGTGATATAGTGCTTAAAATTCAAAAAACAAATCTTTAAGTACATATTTTAATACCATAAGCTTTTAAATGCATTCATCTTAAACAACAAATAGATTATGTGTAATTTCGCCTAAACAAAATGAAAATTCGTCGAACCTATAACAATTTATGCCGTGTGATGCAGTAGACATTAATTAATGCTTGGCCTTTGTTTATAGTTTCTATAGACCACATGTGCATTTACAATATCATTAAATTTTGCTTGCAGATAAGCTTTCCAGATCTTGGAAATTACGACTCAACGGCAGCTTGGCCCTTGATCCTTGATTATTTTGTTGAATGGGTGAAACAAAAAGCATAGCTAACGATGGCATCGATTCTGCGAGAGTGGGACTCTTTTTTTCCTTTTTTCCTTTTTTTCTTTTGTTAAACATAGCCATTGCCTAGATTTCTTCAATCATGATGCCATCTTGTCTAGTATAAAGGCTAGTCATGAATAGTTCATTATACCTTAATGCAATTATGTGGGACTTTTATTTTCTTTTGTTACATTTTTAATGAACAGTAATCTTTATGGTTGCATACCTGCATGTGTTTTTCAGAAATCTCTCATCTTTCTTTAGTCTTCTTTAAAACCGACACTTTTTCTCTTTTAGTAGGTGCAGCAAATCCCAAGTATTCTATGGGCTTTTTGACCAAGTCTTTTTCTTTGGACTAAAGGCTTTGGATAATGGAGGAGTTTGGCTGCTTAATTAATGAATTGAGAGGGTACTATAATACTCTTAACCCACCATCCCATGAAAGTTAATGTAGTGCATTATATTAGATTATACAATATAAATTATTAAATAAGATATATATATACATATATATGTGTATTTGGGCCTTCAGGTCCAGTGGTGTCTGCCCACATATAAGTGCATTCCTCCATTTTTAAGGTAATGGTTTGAATCGGTTTTTTGTGAATTTGTTAAAAAAAAAAGATATATATATATTTTTTTATTTTGAGTTATATATTAAAAGATAATTTTTATGTATTTCTTAACTTATTCTATCTACAAGTTATGAGATTAAAATTCAAGATGTTTTATTTTTATTAAAAAAATTATCATTAATTTACTTAAATTATAGGTATAATCTTTTTCATTTTAAGTTTTTATATAATATATTTACAAAAATTATAATAAAATCTTAATTTGAAGCACTTGGGCTTTTGGGTTTAGTAGCGTCGGCCACGTATAAGTGCATTCTCCCACCTCAAGATAACGATTTGAATCCAGTCTCATGCGAATTTGTTAAAAAAAAAATCTTAATTTGAAACTTTTTAAATTTGAAAGTTTCTTTTTTTATAATGATACAAGTGATAAATATTGTTGCATACATAAAATGTGTTTGGTTCAACTGATTTACCTTTTTATTAAAACATTAACCTATAGTTTAATATTAAATTAATATCAATTATTCTATAAACTAACAATTATGATTATCAATTATTCTTATAATTGAACCAAAAAAAGTTGTACCAAGTTACCCGTAGTTATTTTCTGCATGGTATCCCTAATCTTCAATCTTGATTTTTTATTTTTTATTTTTTGGCAACGGTTAGAAGGGACACAAATCTTGTTGTACACATACCAATAGTCGTTTTCTGTATGATATCCCTTATCATCAATCCTGATTTTGTAAGTGGGAAATCAAAATTATTGACTGAATGATATGGCTTTATCATCTTGATTTATTGGGGTTCCCTACTTTCCATAGGTCCCACAACCCCAACACTTCCTAAGGAG